GGCAGGGAGGGTTAATGACATGGTATGGGGCAATTACTGGAACTGATCCCCTTTCCCCTTATGTCTTTATGGATCCATCTGCAGCAGCTTAAAGCTGGCTTCTGCTCCTCTCCCTCCCATTGGTTTTCAGTTGCTACAGAGAGAGACATACAGGGGATTGGTCCCAGTAATTGCCCCCCCCCCTCTGGTGCACCCATTACCCTCCCTGTATACCAGTCTTTTCCCCTGCTGCCCAGGCCCCCCTTTGTGCTCCCACCCCCGCAGTGCTGCCGACTTCCCTTCTCCGCTATCCACAGGCAACTGCAAGCACACAATAGGATACTTCAGGATTGAGAGTGGGGGAAGGGTCTGGTAAATATGTCACATTTACCAGCCCCTTCCTTTCTTGAATGAACACAATAAGTGATTGGCGCTGATCATTCATGTTCATGCATAACTGAAGCATAGTAAACTGGGTTTTTTTTGTTAGGGGGATGAGGGCTGTCAGGTTGGCTGTATGGGGTCCAGTGGTTTCTAACAGCAGCCCTGCATTCCAGAATTCTTTGAGATACGCACACGTGCGCAATGATATCACTGCTGCCAGCACCGCCCATGCATTTTGTCATAAATTACATAATCAGGGACAATAATACATTACTAGGACTATGGGGGTTGATTTACTAAAACTGAAGAGCACAACATCTGGTGCAGTTCTGCATAAAAAAATCAGCTTCCAGTTGTTTTTGTCAAAGTTTAATTGAACAAGCTGACGTTAGAAGCCAATTGGCCACCATGCACAGCTGCACCAGATTTTGCACTCTCCAGTTTTAGTAAATCAATGTAGCTAATGTCTTATCCCAACAATTGTTAAAGAGAACGGATCAATTCCCCAAGCATCTAATATGGGGGTACTTTCATAATCTGCGTTATCAGCTTTCCAATGTACCCCGTGAAATAAGCAGCCTAAAAAGATTGTATAGTACAGATATTGGTATGCAAATTTTGACTTTTTACCAAAAGTCAACAGTTAAGCCCTCAGCTACATCTGAAACCACTCCACAGGTCCGATGACCTATGCAGAGAGCATTGACATGTGTATTTCACAAGATGAGCAGAGGTGTTTGTGATTCACTGCCTGGTTTCACCTTCTCTAAGCTGTGTGAGAGGTTGCAAACAGTGGTCAAATTTTGTTCAGTGCTGACATTTTGTTCAGTGGTTTTATATCAGATAGTTATTGGTAGTGGTTTGTAAATATTGACAAGGAAAAGGATTACTGAGAGCTCCCTCTATTAGCTAATCTCTATTGGTATTATATTAAGAAAAATATCGAAAGCAAACATGAAAATGTGACATTTATTTAAACAAATGGCATTAAGGTAAAAAGTACAATAATGAAAAAAACTATGAAATCACTGGTTATACAATATACTTTCACTTTAAAGTGAACCTGTGAACAGGTTATAGGCATTCAAGTATTTACATATTGTTAGCTGGTAGTAATTTACCTTTTAAACAATTAAAACTCACTGACCTCTGTAGCTGCAGGCACTATGGAACAATTCACCATCAATGTCAATAAACTCTATAGTAAAGTTGTTCTCTCTGACAGCTGAACTCCCTATTTTTAGCAGCAACTCAATAGCTTTCCAGCCTTCAAATCTCTCAGGAGAAGGAGTTCTGGAACTGATGAAGCTGAGCTGCTGATAGACTTTTAGAGCTTCTGTTGTGTATGCTGACAATTAATTGCTCTGCAGTGCCTGCAGCTACAGGGAACAGTAAGTGTTTGTTGTAAAACTCATCTGCTTTTTCTTATGAATATTTAAATATTTTATTGCCCATAGCCTGGCCATAGGTTCACTTGAAATGTTATGCATAGTGATGTATTTGTGTTTGTTAGATGTTAATGGTTGCAAGATTCCAGTCATCAAACTTTAATACCAGTAGTCACACCTGATGCAACAGAACCAGGACACTCATATAGCATAGTGCCCTCATGGCAACCATACGAAGACAGACAATCTGCTTAGATTGAATTGATTTACTAGAAGAATTATTCGCTCAGAGCCTGGGCGTAATTGGAATGCAGTATGTGTCCAGTATTTGGAAGCAAAGATAAAATGAGCAATATATGACCAAGGGACTGTGCATTAAGGTGTGAGCCCTTGTGTGTGTATGAGAACAAGATAAGAGGTATGTCCCTGACATTTCAGTAAATGCCTCTCTGTTCTCTGATCTTTTTATAGTTGCCTTGAAATTGTGCCAGGCGCTCACGGAATGAGCAGTAATTCTCAGCCAGTGGCTCATTTAAGAGGCTGTGCAGACGGCACCTATACATTTATCTGCTAATAAGTACATCAGGCTTGAAATCGTATTTGTTCCTCTAGAGGTGGCTGAACTAATATCCAGATTTTTTTTCTTTTCTGTTTAGGAAATGCACCCCATTTCCTGCGTTTGCAGAATGTGGAGGTAAATGTCGGGCAGAATGCAACTTTCCAGTGTATCGCGGGAGGAAAATGGTCTCAGCATGACAAACTCTGGCTGCAGGTAGGCAAGGCTAATGGGCCAAAAACTCATCAATGTAACCATTATACATATTTTATATAACTGTGTCTGGATATCCATTGAAATAGGTCATTTTCTGATAATAGCGAAACAAAAAGCTGAATACACAGTTAGCATACTAAGCTGTTTATCTGCCATAGGATTTGTAATTTTGTTTTGGCATTCATGTGATCCAGACACCACTGCCAGATAATGTAGCCAAGTCCTGAACCCCCTGTATCCATTCTGTAGACTGTCCAGCAGTTGCATTATACCTATGTCCGTCCCCTTCCTGTGACTGGAGGATTAAGTAACTGCATTAATTCTGTGCAGCCAGTCTTGTTATTTAGGCACTTCTTCCAGACAGCACAACCACATCCTGGGCTACTATGCGGATGGCACTGCAGTTAAAGTATATCTAAAGCCACAGGTTAGTTCTGAATAACTCTTCAACACTAAGGCTGGGTTCACATTGTTGCTCTGCAGTAACATGCCCATTACCACATGCGGTCAAGCATGCAACGAGGCAATAAGGTGCCATTCATTTAAATGTAATGTACTATAGTAATGGACTGCATGTTTGAGTCGAACTTAAGTTTGTAAGCCCAGCACCCTATGATGATGTGCATTGCACGAAACGCGTCGGGGGGGCTACAGTTCTTGGACGTCTGACCACCGCTGGTGGCCATCCTGAATTACACATGGTCAGTGCCTTTTATCTTCACCACTTTCCTATGTATTGATCTGTTACTCCTTAAAGCAATAAACTCAGTGTATACGGTATTACGGTATGTGGTGTCCCTTATTGGGCTCTCTTCACCGACAGTCCCCACTTGCAGAACCTGTTTAAAGGGACCCCTGACGGGGACATGCAATAAGGCTTTTGGAGTACTTAACCTAGAGGAGATTGGATTGTATGACCCTGACCCTGTTTTGGCAGTAGATGACCAATACCTGATGAGACAGGATAATCTCATATGCGCATGTTTGACGCACTTCTGGTGAGTGCGCATTCTTTATACATTATATCCACTGGGTGGCACACCAGACCCTCGCCCCCACGCACTCTTATCAGGATCTATTGGATCCCCACGTGGGCAATTTTCAGCTATTTGGGACATTTATTCACTAAAGGTCACCACAGTGTGATTGATTTTTTTGCCCTATTTTGCACTTGATTATATTGCTACTATATATTCTATGTTTTATTTTAATTTGTTTAACCTTTATACATATCTAGCGCTGTACCTTTTATATATTTATATTTATTGATTGGAAGGTTTGTTCTTGGTTGCCTTTTTGGTGTTCTAGCAGCTTATTACTTGAGACTTGGATAGCGCTCGCTTACTATTTCTTTACAGAACTTAAGTTTGACTCGAACATGGGCCGTTCATGTGTTTGTTGAACACACGAACGGTATGGGCATTTGGCGGGCTGTTCGCCCACTTTGCCCCACAATTAACTGTCATACGCCAAAGCATTGCAACTGCCCACAGGTCAGGTGCAATGCTTTGGCCAATCATAAGGCATGATGATGTCACAAGGGGGTGATCCCGCCCCCATCTGACATCATCACCCTATTTAAGAACTGTTATCGTGGTGCAGCTGTCAGACGACGGGAGCCAGCATCGATGGTGAAGTGTTTTTTTTCTATTTCTTTTTTTCCGGTTGGCGGGCATCGTGATTGATGTTGGATTTACTTCGGGGGACATTTTTTTATTTTTATTTTTAATAAAAGACTTGTCAAAGACTGTCTCCTGACTTTTTTTACACTACACTTTTATTTTTGTGAATGAGTAGCGGTACCATGTACCCCATTCATTCAGTTTGCAATAAGCCCCCCGCCCGCAGACCCCCACAACCTCCAACCAGGGTTGTGGAGAAGAGGCCCTTGTTCCCATCAACATGGGGAAATGGTGCTTTGGGGGGCCCCTGCCCCCACGAAAAAAAATTTTAATTGTTGGGCAATGCCAACAATTCTTTTAACATTCAGCTTTCAGAAAGGAACCCCACTGATAACTGGAACATGAATGAATGTTTCACTACTAAAATGACTTAATAATATAACTCATCCGGTATTTTAGTAGCTGGATGGTATCTTACCACATACTCAGATGCGGTAAGATAAAGCTCAGTAAATTGGCTCTGTTCGAAGTGCGCGGTTGAACTTTTGGTAGGTTCGAATGTTTGACCGCCGCAAACCAAACTGGAGGGTGTTCAGCTCACCACTAATGTACTACACTAGGACTTCAGCATATCACAAAGCAAAGTACAGCAAGTACTGTCATGCGTTGCGTTCCCCAAAAAGTGTAAGGTGCAAAACTAATGGGCTGCCTTAACCTCCCTGGCGGTATTCCCGAGTGTAGCTCGGGGTAAAGTTTCAGTACCAAAAGCGGAAACCCCGAGCTACACTCGGGATTACCCTGCAGCGTTGCTCAGGGATTCCCTGCAGCACTTACCTTGTCCTGCGATCCCGCGATGTCCCCCCTGCAGTGTCCCCGGCCATCTCCTCTGGCCGATGCCGGCATCCGTCTTCTGGGTTCCGGTCCCTGCGAGCGTCGGGACGTACGGGGGCCAGAACCGGTGGGAAATTTGAAAATTTTAAAAACTAACATTCACTAATACACTAAAATCACATAGTAAAACATTACTGTATCAAACCATTTCACATACATTTTGTCCCGAGTGCTTTGTCCTGTGCCCTGCCTGCATTTTTACTGTTCTTTCTACCTGGAAACTGAGAAACGTCCATGGCGTCCAAAAAGCGTCCCTTTAAGTCAAAAGCGGTTTTAGATCAGCTAGAGAACAGCGATAGTAAATCAGAACCACTTGCAGAATTGAGTGATAATGATTTGTGGGGAAATTCGTCATCAGCACTGAAAACGATTCTGTGACTGTGCGAACTTGGCGCTCTATTTCAAATTTCAGTGTTTTTGGTTTGATTATATTATTGAATTAAATGTATTATTATATTATTATTTTTTATGATTATTTATTATAATTTATGATTTTGTGTTTCAAGTTTTATTCTACCCGGGATGTTTACTAGACTCTTGTTTAGACAGAGCTCAGTGAGTTATTCCTCAAAATTACAGGCCTACAATAAAAAAACAACATATTTCCATGCAAAAAAATGTACCGCTTTGAGCACAGAAATATGGACATAATCAGACCGCTAGGGAGGTTATGGAATGCACAATAATGTCTTAAACCAGCCCTAAAGATCCATTAGGAACCCCTTTAATGGAAACCTTTAGTAGCCAGTGGGCAGTGTCCATGTCACATGAAAGGAATGTAGGCACTGCAATAGGACCCTCCAACACTGCAGAATAAAAGAAGAAATGGACCCAGCCTGTCACATGACCACCATTTCAGGTAAGTACTTTGAGATTTCAGTTTAGCTTTTTCTTAATTATTGAATACCTAAAAAGCGGTACAGTGGGAGGGAAAAAATGTTTTTCTTAACTTAGCAGAGTTAAAGGCGGTATTAATCCCAACATCAAAAATATAATATATTGCAGTTTACCAGTCATTAGATGTGGGAGGGGGTGTTCGATGTACTAGCAGATTTATATACACTAACAAATAGCAACCAATAGGAAAACAAGTCTAAAAAAAGAAAACCAATGTAGCCACCACATTCAAGGATCGGAGAGCTGCAATATATTAAATGTTTGCTTTTGAGTTCAATAATGCTTTAAGCTTTAACTTTTACCAGTTCTTCCTTACCCTAAGCATTTTCTGCAGCGTTTTGCTTTTTGCAGAAACACAGTACAGTCCATTTAACATGATTTCCTATGGGACAAGTTCACACCTGTGCATTTTCACCTAGTGCATTTTTTGGAAAGGGTCGGGGACTTTTTTGAATGCAAAACGTTGCATTTTTGGTTCTATAGACTTCAATGGGATGCTGCAGAAAAGCATTTATTGCGTTTTTGCTGCATTTATTATGCATTTTGCGTTTAAAATCTGCCTAGCAACAAGAAAAAAAATGAAAAAAAAGCACAAAATGCATCAAAAACGCCAATGCAAAAAACGCAATGCAGAAACGCCTCAAACGCAACCTTCATAGGTGTGAACCTAGACTTATATGGGGGTTGAATTAGTTTTCCTTCTTTCAGTACTCTTTCAGCAAGTATAGAAAATATCTGTTAATCTTGCTAGAAATGCAGTGTACTTGTCAGTGCTCCTGAGCTTAAAAAAACAGGCAAAAACAATGTTATCTTTCTTGCTTAAACCCCTAACTCCATCAATCCACCATGTAATGGAGATGAACAAAGGCAGATACAGTAGGGGTTATTTACTAAAACTGGAGAGTGCAAAATCTGGCTCAGCTCTGCGTAGAAACCAATCAGCTTCCAGATTTTTTTTGTCAAAGCTTAATTGAACAAACTGAAGTTAGAAGCTGATTAGCTACTGTGCACAGCTGCACCAGATTCTGAGTGCTCTAGTTTTGTTTGACCTCTTGGGGCTGGCCGAATGCAAATGTGCGGCCTCCCGGCGTCTGGGCCTTGACGCCGAGCGGCTGCACAGTTTGCGTGCAATTAAGAAAAACATATGTGCTGAGAGCGCGCGTCCTGCACGCTCCCATCACACATGGCTTCTGAAACCCTTAAAGTGCCGGGAGGCGCCTGTGCCAAGGGGTTAAAGTCCAGCCTGTATGACAACCATGTGACGCCCTGCACGCTCCCAGCACACATGTCCGGTACTCACGGAAAAGTCCCGATCTCCTCTTGCGATCGGGACCTTTCCTGATCATGTGATCGCCGTGACAGCGAATCACGGCGGTCACATGACCCTAAAACCCCGCCTGCCTCCTGGCTTCTGAAACCCTTAAAGTGCCGGGAGACGCCGGTGCCAAGGGGTTAAAGTCCAGCCTGTGTGACAACCATGGCTCCCTCCATAGATACATTGGAGAAGTGAGTGTAGCCAAGAAGAGACAGAAAGTTTATTGTTTGCATCATTACCAGGTGAAAATAAAAGTAAATGAGCCTGAAAAGCAAGACTAATGCAGCCAACACATCTAAGGACTGGAAAATTGTAACTCTCTTTACTCTCTTCTTCTGTAAGAATGGCAGTGTTAGGGCTCACGTCGATGGATGTTCTTTTCAAATGCTGCATTTTCTATTCAAAAGCAGCGTTTGAAAAGAATAGACAGCGTTTGAGTTTGAATTAAATCCCATTAGGTTCAGCAGGCAGTACCACCAGCCGATTGCAATCCATTCAAGTGAATGGGGTCGTGCCACAGCCGCCCTGCAACTGCCTGAGCTGCCCAGGAGACTAATATCAGGACCGATTTGGCTACGTTATGTCACAATACATTTTTAGGAAATACATAAAAGGATTAAATCATCTAGGTTTATTATCTTCCTGTGGTTCGGATTTACCAAGCAAAATTGTCAAATAGCACAGAATTCAGCCAGGATTTGTTTAGCAGCGTTGTTCTTGGGACTGGTAATATATTTCTATAAGAATTAATAATGACTTTCTGGATCATTATTCAATAATGGCTCTGCAAAATTATCCCAAATGTGCCCAGTAGGAGGTGATGTGTTTGCTGCAAAATAAGTGACAGATTTGTCAATACTCATTAGTCGTATTTGAAACGCTCGAATGTCTTCCTTTAGCGGATTGAAATACGTCAACTTCAGTAAAAAACAAAAGGCAGGAAAATTCACTTTGCGCCATGATACGCCTAATAGCAAAACATTGGGCGATGGTTAAAGATGTTCACATTCTTGTTTATATTGTCACAGATGACACGTCCAACCATTTTGCATACCTGATGGAGAAATCTGAGAGAGTTCCGCTGTTACATATTTATAAAGTCTATGTAAAGCCATGGGCCTCGTTGGAATTAACCCCCTACCAGGGGCGGACTGACAACTCATGGGGCCCCCGGGCAATAGCGGATTATGGGGCCCCTGTGTCCTTGCCCAAACTCAAAAAACCTATGAAAAAGGTACCAGGGGCATCTTATGGGGCTCCCTACTGACCCCGGGCCCTTGGGCAATGCCCGAGTTTCCAAATGGTCAGTCCGCCCCTGCCCCCTACTAATCCATCAAATTTTATAAAGTGGTTGAGTTCAGCTGTAAATGCTCTCCAGGTATTGTTGATTTCCCAGTTATAAAGGGACCCTGTCACTAGGTCAAATTTTTTTTAACAATATTCTTCTAATATGATTTAATGTATTCTATGAATGGTATGTACCTATAAAAGCCTCTTTCGTGTTGACATCCGAAAGCCCAGAAACCACTTCTTGGATGTGATGTCAGCAGCCACAGCAGACTCAGAGCTGTCATCTAAGTGACACTCTATAGCAGGGGCGGACTGACCATTTGGAAACTCGGGCACTGCCCGAGGGCCCGGGGTCAGTAGGGGGCCCCATGAGATGCCCCTGGTACCTTTTTCATAGGCTTTTTTGAGTTTGGGCAAGGACACAGGGGCCCCATGATCCCCTATTGCTTGGGGGCCCCATGAGTTGTCAGTCCGCCCCTGCTCTATAATATTCTCGTTTGCTCCTCCCCCCATAAAAGACTATGAAGGAAAGTGAGGGGAGGGGCAGAGGAGCTGGGTCAGCACAAAAAGGAATTAGATGCTCCCAAAATAGGAGAAGGGTATGACATGCATGGATAGAAGGGATCCTACTAGCGAATTGACCTCTTTGGAGTAGTTAAATATTTTAATGAGTTCAGAGGCACATTGCAAGTCAATTAAATAAAACATTGCAAATAAAATTAAAGTACTTCAATTTTTCACACTTTCACCTGCAAGATAAAGACTCTGGGGGAGATTTACTAAAACATGAGCTCTCAGAATCTAGTGCAGCTGCACATGGCAGCCAATCAGCTCCTAACATCAGCTTGTTCAATTAAGCTTTGACAATAATTGGGGCTCATGTACACTGCAGCTGATAAACTGACGTTCAGGAGCTGTTCAGAGTTTTTTTTTCAGCAGCCCCTGAACTCTCCATAATGTTTTCTTATGTGTCCATGTACATATAGTCATTTACAGGCAGTTGAGTTTACAGTCTTTTTTTAACGCACCAAACTTGCATTCAGAAGTAGATTTTACCAGCGTTTGAAACGCCAAATGCTTGTAAATGCATGTAGACACTTGTAAACCTGGTTAACTGCATTTATAAGCGTTTGCGTTTAGAAGCGTTTTTTTAACTGTTCCATGTCCAGATCCTTTTTTCATCATCAGAAAATGCATACAAAGCATTTTCCATGTATTCAAATAGACGTAGTACACTAGCGCAGGCAGTTCCAGGTTTCGCGTGAAGGAAAAAATGGTAGAAAATGCTGCAGTCTGCTTATGATGGGATCCATAGTGAATACAACCAGAAAAGACGGGTCATCTCAACACATACTGCTCTCTCTGCTTCTGCGTTTTCCAGCAGTCAGTTTCCATCGTTCAGAGGAGTTTCACAAACGCCCCGTGTACACGAGCTCTAAAACCTGGAAGCTGATTGGTTTCTATGCAGAGCTGCACCAGATTTAGCACACTCCAGTTTTAGTAAATCTCCCTCATAGTAATTGTAGGCAAGTGAGAGCTCCCTACTCTCTGAATTTAATATATTAACAAAAACATATAGAAATAAGCATGTAAAAATGTGAAAAAAAAGTGTTGTTTTACCTATTATATTATTATTATTATTACATCGAGTTTATATAGCGCCAAAGGGTTCACTCAGCGCTGTACAATAGGGGGGGGGACAATACTTGGCACACTACAACAATAACAAACAACGTACAAGGGGTAAGAGGGCCCTACTCTTTCGAGCTTACAATCTAGGAGGGAGGGGGTAGTGGTACAGTAGGAAGTGGCTGAGGGGAATG